GGCAACCGCTCTGTTGCTGGGGGTAAGCACCGGAGGTGGCAATCCCGCAGCGCTTTGCGCTGTTCCTCACCATCCGGATATAACCCTGGTCACCAAAACACGCGCCCCAACTTTTGGAAGAGAGAAGCAAAAATTAGACAACGGGAGGTAACTGCCTCCTTCCATACCCGCCCCTCACCCTCACTTTGTTCCTCTCCCCACCCCCTTTTTTTAAATTTTTTTTTATTTTTCAACTCATGCTTCTTCCCCAGCAGCCACAGGAATAGCCCAATTCACATATTTTGGCCAAAAACGCTGAACCTCCTGACTGTTTCCCTGCCAGATTTTGCTGCCGCTAACTCTTCTGCGGAGGGAGCAGAGGAAAAATCACTTATTTTCTATGTGCTGGAGCGAGTCAAAACCACCAGGGAAATACCATATAGAGGTGAACAAAGTAGTTTTGTATATTAAAAATACATTTTATTTTATTTTTTAAATCCTACCAAGGCCAGAGATGAGAGACAGAGAAGGAAACTGGTGGGTTTTTAGCCCAGCCCTGACATGAGGATAAAAGAGCTTTGTTGACAGAACTGCCCACAGTTGGTTTTTTCTTTTTTGTTGCTTGTTTTTAAAAAAGATAATGGTTTTCAATTGCTGATTGTAGCTTTGCTGACATCGCAGGTTTTGGTTTGTTTTTTCCCCCCCGAGATGTGTCTGTCCAAGCAGGACTCTTTCATTTCTACACCACCCAGCATCCAGGAACACTGGAAACCCTGGAGTTTCCCCGCAGAGCGGAAATCCCGTTTTTTGAGCCAACTCGCAGCACCAAGGAGCCGGGCAGGAGCGTTTTGGGTGATGTACGTCGATTGGGGTTGATAGGGCTTAATCGAGGGCCCTTTACACCGTCGGTGCAATGGCGCTGAGCCCTAAACACACCTAAAGAAAGCTGACGGGCATCGAAAAGCGTCCCTCATCCTCCCCAGCACCCAGCCCGGCCATTCGCCACCCGCGTCTCGGTGCGTAGGTGTGAGCGGGAAAAAGAAACTTATAAGTGTCTAAATTTTTGGGTTTTGCGTGACTTTTTGAAGTGAAGATCACCTTCCCTTCCTGTTAAGACTCGCCCTGAGCTTTGCTGCCGTCGTTTCTCAATTGGTTGCACTAAAAGGAGCGCTCGGGTTTGGGTTTTTGGGGTGACAGGGGATTTTTGGCTGCAAAATGCCACCCCAGCAGCACCTTCTCTCCCTGCTTCGCCCCGGAGTCAGCCCTGTTTAACCGTCAGTTCCTGCCTTTTTGGGAAAGGGAAGGACTTTTCCACCACTGCAGCCCCATCCCATCGCAGGATCAGGACAGCACACAGCAAACCAGCCCGAGTGTTTATTCCCAGCGGTGTTTATTTTAAAAATAAAGTCATACCATTCTGTGCAGCCCCCGCTGGGACCTAGACCTGCGCTCTCCATGGGGGATATTCCACCTGCGCGGGATTTCCCCATGCATCCACATTCCCGGAGGCAGAGGCCGGCGCCGGACCTGTTTGCACAAGCATCTGCGGTCGGATCAGGCTCTCTGGAGCTGGCCGAGCCCGGCCCCGAGCGTCTGCGGCCGCGGGCAGGCAGAACCCGGCACGGACAGTGCTGGCACCGCAAAGGAGCCCCAGGAAAACAGAGTTGGGGGGAGCTCATCACACCGTTCGGCTGCAGCCGGGGAGACTTCTCGTGGAGAGGCAGAAACCCCCCTGGAACGACGTCAGCTTTGGAGATTGGGAGCGAAAAGGCCGAGTGTGAACAGAGGGAAGCGGGGAGGGTGACCGGCTGCGGCGCGGCTCCAGGAGCGCTCACATCTTGGGGAAGCTGGCGAGGTTGGCGATGCCGCAGGCGTTGTTCATGTTGCGCGCCAGGAGGACGTAGCCCTTGTTGCCCCACTCCTCGCCCCAGCTGTGGGGAGAGAAGGCAGAGCCTGAGCCGCTGGCC